AGAGTCTTAGCTGTCTCAGCAATTACGCAACTCCAGGTGAGGGTCCATATACACGAATGAGGCCCTCTTGCCAGTCCCCAGGCATCCCTCTAACTGACTGAAAATGCATAAATGAACCCTAAAGATACCTTGTGAAGCAGAAGAACTGCCTACATGAACTCAGCCAAATTGCCAATATACATGATTCTGAGCAAATAAATAACTGTTGTTCTAAGTCCTGGGCAACTGGTTTAACTTTCTCACTGAATTATTTCACATGAAAAAACTTAAAAAATACTGTCTATCTTATAGTCATATTATGACGATTCAAAGAATAACTTATGAAAAATATTTGGCAATGTCTATACTTTCAAAGCAGTCAATAAATGGTAGTTAATTATGTGTATGATAAATTCTAACAAAACAATGTACAATGTTCAACAATTTGTGCAGGTAGTGATTTAGAAGGAGCTTTGGACAGAGACTGGAGTCTCCCAGGCCAAATTTGTTTTCCCTAGATGTCACTGCCTGTCCATACTTATTAGCCTTTCTCTAGGGTATTTATTTACTGGGGAAAAACCCCCACCATATTTAAAAATCAACAATTCATTTATGTTAGTAAGTTAGACTAATTTATTCCAAGATATCTCTGAAGGCAGAACTATAAAACATGGATGGAACTTACGAGAAAGGCCAATTTGGGGTCAATAAAAGGAAGATATTTCTTTTTTTTTTTTTTTTTTTTTTACTGTTTATTTATTTTGAGGGAGAGAGAGACAGAGTGCCAGCAGGGGAGGGGCAGAGACAGAGGGAGACACAGAATCTGAAGCAGGCTCCAAGCTCCAAGCTGTCAGCACAGAGCCCGACGTGGGGCTTAAGTCCACGGAACCGCGAGATCGTGAGCTAAGCTGAAGTCAGATGTTTAACCAACTGAGCCACCCAGGTGCCTCAAAAGGAAGATATTTCTAAAATAGGTTTTTTCATAGCTATAAAAGGCTGCATTGACTTAAAGATCTAGCATATTCCTTGTCACTAAAAGCACTCAGAAACAAGTTACATTTATTCTGTTATAGCTATTGACACATGAGCTTAGATAGCTGGTCAGATGATTTTTATTTCCTTTCCTAAAATTGTACAATACATATTATTTTTTCTCAAAAATTCTCAATATTTTAAAGACTCTTAGGTCTTAAAACACTACCCATGCATTAAAAAACCCCACTGACATTTTCATTTTTAGACATGTATATATGCACTACAGAAAGCAACATGGGATATGAAAATTTTAAATTGGCCTTTTCTCCTTTGATTGAGATCAATACTCAGAACAGTCAATTTTTTTATGTGGTAACTGTCTGTTCATATGGCTGAAAAAAAAAGAAAATATGCTTTTGCCAAAAATCTATTTATTCATTTATTGATTCATTTATCCAACAAATATTTATGAAACATTTATCAAACTCTTCCTGTACACTAAGCATTGTGTTATGTGGTATAAGTTTGTATTTTATGGAAAAAAGCTACTATCAACATTTGATTCCAAATAAATAATGAAGAATCTTAACTATTTCTCAGTTTTTGGTTTTTGGTATTTTTTGTTGACTCATTATGTGTGCATGTATTTATCTCATCATCTGATACTTATTAAAACAAAGCATATGCATTCAAGACATTTTCTCACTAAAATTCCATCACAAGTTTATTCTAATATCTATGCTACATAGTTTATAAATTAAGTGAACTTTTGCTTAGGTTTGAATTCTATTTGGAATAGTAATAAACACTTCTGGGTTTATTTATCTATGTAGTGAGAAAGATACATGCAGCATGCACTTACAGATTACATATTTGTAGTATATAATATGTGTATGTCTGATAAAATAAAATTTATGATATGATTCTCCCAAATATTTTTATCTATTTTATCTGTTATCAGTATAATGTGGACACGAGTCAGGAGGTTCTTTTATGTGAAGTCTAAACAATTTTTAATATTACCAGTTAAACAGAGCATTTCTCTGGTTTGTCATGATAGTTTAGCTTTAATTGAGCTTGACATCGATTTCTCTTCCACCTTTGTTTAGTTAAACAGGAACACAATATATATTTATTTATGAAAAGAATTTATAATTGTATTTTAAATATTTTATGATGATATTTTAAATATCAACTTTATAAAACATAAACAGAATCTCAAGAAAGGCAATCTACATATTTTGGGACGTTCTAGAAAGGCTGATTTGGGAAGGAAGAACGTAGTTAATAAAAGCCATCTTTCATGTTATTTAACACAAAAGCAAACACAGATCTTTTTATATTTGACATTAAAAATCTGATCATTTGCCTCCCTAAAGAAACCACGTACAGCTTTTATACAGACTGCACAGTAAAGAATAATAATATTTCTGTTTACTGAGATATCAACTGGCATTTCACTGTAAGTCAATGGTCTATCGTTGCTACAGCGTATTAGACCTCAATCTGGCATCTACAAATGTCAAGAGTATAAAAAAGGTATAGGATGAAAATCAAAAGCATGTTCCAAACTCCCAAAAAAAATAAAAAAAAAGGGAAACAAAGTTCACCTAAACATATTTGCTGCAGAAATCAGTGCAATATTCAGCTGTCAATCTACAAAAACAACGAGGGAGCCACCCTGTCAGTAGGACAGGATAATAAAATTTCCAGCAGATGTTCAGGCAGGGCTCTAATTTTTACTGAACTCCCTTGGTAAGCATTTAATTTCTTTATCATATGCAGGCTCGGCAAATTGTACTTCATCAAAACTGTATTGTGAAATATTAATATTTCATATGATAACAAAACTCCATAGAATAACCTTTGTCATATTAAGAGCATCCAAATTTTAAATGTCAAGATTCTGAATTTTAATACATTTTAAGTAGATTCTTGAAATGGCATAATAAATTATAATAAGGCTAATCTAAACTGGTATGCTATAATGTCACACAAATGTATAGTCATATAATATTTTAATAGATTTCTTTAGTAAGAAACTGTGGGAAAAACATGTTTATACCAACTGAGTTGTGTGCTACAACATTTCATCAATAAAAAAGCACAGATGTTCATAAGACAATTTTACATTCACAATAGGTATAATCACTAATTAGGGACAATATAAGAAAATTAAGAAAAACCCTACATCTCTATGAAGCAAACTGACTACTTCAGAAAACCATGTATGGCCATTATATAAGCCCACAGTGGCATCATTATTTATGTCATTATAATCAGCAAAAATACATCTGAAATAGCCTTTGCACAAATATTGTGTTGTACCCGCCATTAAAGTAAGTAACAGAGAGCTTCCTAAAACCTCCAACATTATGTTTTATATGCCAAATTTAATTTGCATTTGTTCCTTACTCTCGCTTTGAACCAGCATCACAGACTTGTGAATTGATAGATTAAATTCAAATTGGAGGTTTAGAAGGAAGTTAGCTTCCACATTTATTTCTGCTGCTGATCCTAATAAAGGCAACTGCTCCTAGGTTACCGAAAGAGACAGCATCACAAATCAATGCATGTCACCAACAGAGTAAAGACAGATGTCTCTGATTAATCAGAATTCAATTTTTTTGCAAGCAAACAGCAAATTCAAAGCAAACATTTTTTTCTACAATTCTTCGCCTGTACATGATTAGCCATCTATTGCTGTTTACATATAAAAATTTTAAAACAGTGTAACTAATGTAGTCATTAAATGGTATCAGAGACTCAGTTTTCCTCAGTGGATTAAACATTTGACTACAGCTTTTGAGTTATTCTTAAAGGATGAATTGAAACAAAGACGAATATACTATCAATATTCTACAAAGCCGTAAACAATTGATTAATGATATTCTAAAGCTGAATCCAGTAAGTTGTTTATTCTTATACTTTGTTTAACCAAAGTATTTCTATGTATTCAACCAATTTATTTGAAAAAGAATCTTCCTTTAGTTATTTAAACATAAAAACATTTATAATATTTTTTATGCCCTGGTTTTTCTAACTTTTGAGGAATCTCTAGATTTTCTTCATCACACCTACACATAGCATCTTGTAAAGCTGTCAGAATAAGACAGCTGTAATGTTTTAGCCATACTAATGCTAGCTATTGATCCTAGTAAGAGGAGAAAGAAGGAAAGAATGTGCTTAATGGGGCATATTTGTTCTCTATTATTTTCTTTGCCTACGGATAAGGCTGATTTAAATAATGATACACTTGGTCACTAGATTCACACATTCTTATACATTAATTATTACTAACTACCAGTTAGTACTAAATACATAGATTCAGCATTTAAAATTTTATCAATAAAAGGTCTAATAATGTTAAATTCTGTGCTTTTCTACTTCAAAACCATGTAAGGATGCAACCTTCTATTGTATAAATCATACTACTTTAAAAACATGTATTTATATGCTTTCTGTATTTTAAAGAATTCATCTCAACTATAATATGTACTTTATTTTCTTCTAAGTATGTCCACTTACAGTGTGGGTACAAAGTCATAATGGCAAATTAAACTCAGGCATATATACTTTGAAAAGTTTCTGTATTTAAAAATTCAAGAAGAATCTTATTACCAGCACAAATGAGCTACACTGAATGATTCTTTTTGACATGAACTGGATCCATGGTACAAACCATATGCATAGTCTCTCTCACTTTGAGTTCAGGCATAGGTCCTCATCCACACACATTCACAAATCACGAAAGAATTAATAATGCCAAAATAAAATTCATGAGTTTGTGATTATTAAATGAAATAGGCACTTTTGTAATATAGATGTTTTTGATGCTTCCTAGACAAAACAAATGAGAAACAGATGCCCTTCCAAGGGACAGAAAGATTGGAAAGAAAATAAAAACTAATTTGCAACCATAGGTCTTTCCCAGTAGTTGAATAACTACTATTTCTTGGTCAGGCAAATCTTGCCATTATAATATTTATGCCCTAATTAAAATACATGATAGACATTTAAACATGACTTCAAAAATATATTCTTACCTTATCAAGAGAGAAAGTTTTGGTCAGGGCAAAACCCCATCCAGCTTCAAAAGCTCTTCGAATCATTGATGTACTGGTAGCTGGAGTTGCACTAGCAAGACCAAAAGGATTTATAAACTTCAGTCCAGCCATTTCCACACTAATGTCCACCAGATCAATAGGGGTGTAAAAGAGGGGCAGTTCAGGCTTGGCAGAAACAGAAGCTCCATATTGTGACTGCAAAAAACAAAGAGTCAATAGTTGTTCTTGTATCATATCTGATTTTTCCATACAATCTTTTACAAAAATCACTTCAACACAGCATTTGAATTAATACAGATTACACTGGTCTGTACCATGATGAAAACTGGCAAAAAGTCAGTTAGCAGTGAACCAAATTCATATAACATCATCTTTTTCTAATTTAAAAGGCATTATAGAGGGTATTAACAGAAATAAAATCAATTAAATAAACAAACAAAAAAACTCTACTTAAAACATACAGAGATTCAAACACAAAAGGGAATAATTTCAGAATTTATTTCCCTGGTCCCATAAAGCAGCCTTTTTGTCTTAATTTGTGGAAATGTCTTTACTGCTCAGAGATATGGGCGACAGCAAGTCAGGGGGCCTAAATTCAATTTCCAGTACTCTCACTTCTGTTTATGAGATTTTAGGAAAGCCACCTAATATGTCCATGTCTTTTTCTCCTCCACCGTTTTCAGTACAGCAGCAGGAATGTTGGTTGCCTAATTTCCTACCTCATAGGGGTATTGGAAAATGCAGGAGATCATAAGCCACAGGAAGACAACTAATTTGGAAAGTGGGAAATGTACTCATGTGCATGAGCAGAGTTTCTTTTTTCAGAAAGCAAGCCGGCACCTAACACTTAAGGCCGAAACCTACAACTGGCTCTCAACACTGTAAAATTACCTTTCTTAAAGGGACATTGTAGTAATGTTACCTTCCAGTATGAAAACGCTTATGCAAAGTGCATGGCACACTGAAGGAGAGTAGGTATTTGCTAATTGTTGTCTCTTCCTGACTGGGGACGTTATTAAAGATCTCATCTAGCCTTTGGTTTAATAAGTGTCTCTGTCTCTGTCTCCTTCCTTGTCTCCCTCCTTCCCTTTCTCTCTATCTCTGAAAGACAAATAATACTGGCAAATATAAAAAGGGTGAGTTTTCTAAGCCAAAGTGGTTACTGAATGGATAGAGCTAGTTAATTCCAAAGTAAGAATCCCTTTCTCTTGTGAACCATCACTCAAAGGAAAAGTTGTTTGAGCATAACTTTAATTTTACAGGAGTGTGTCTTATGTAGATAAAAATTGCCATGACTTGCATACAAATTATTTCTGGACCTCCACCATTTATAATGCAAAGGAAAGTTCACTTAATATGTAAAAAGGCATCAAACTTGTCAATTGAAAGACTAATGTGTCTCGTGCACCTACAGAGAGGTGCCTGATCACATCAAAGCTTCAAGTATGGCAGGCATCTTCTGCCAGGAATGTTCTGGCACATTTCTGAATATCAGTCAGTCCTGTTGTGAACATTAATTTCTCCTGTCCTCATGTGGAATTGTAATGCTATTAAAAAGATTATTAGCAAAGACAAAAGGTATAATGTAGAATATACGGAATTAATATATGTCAGTTTGATGTGTGTGTGTGTGCGTGTGTGTACGTGTGAATTTGTACAGGGGTGTATGGGGTGGGGGAAGACCTTGATGTGATTTTCTCAACTGCAAAATCATAGTTTAAACTGAATCAAGCAAATTTAGGCTAGACTTAGGAAGACTTTCCTGACACCACATATTGGTTAATACTGGGAAAAATTTAGATGCACTTTTCGTATCTGAGGAATCTCAGAAATTTCAGGCAACTTTGTGTCTGAGGCTAACAGCAGAAATGCATATGGCTCTATATTCTTTATTAGGTGAGGTGAATGATACTATGAGTTTTCTTTTCTTTTTAAGGTTTTGTAATGAAATATCTAATCTCTTTAATCTTACAGATGAACTTCTTAATAATCATAGCTATATGACACTAGGCAATGGCCCAAGGAGCAGATATGTATGTATAGTTCAACTTGCATTTCTTAGTTTATGTAGCTTACAATAAATAAGGCATTGCCCTGAAATTCTTAAGAAGGTTGCTGCCTTAATGTAAAAAGGGAATTATGGAGAAAAACTTTGTAAGATTTTCCTTAAGCTTCAAAACAAAAATATAAAACAAACCAAAGCAAACAACAACTAACAAAACATAAACATACACATAAAACTCTTTCAACTGAGAACTACAGCTTCTTATAAAATATGTATTTTCTTTTATTGACAAAATACTATTGATGTGTATGCATATATGATAGAATCTCAAATCTTTAATAGGCGGTTATTTTTCATACTGTGCCTACAGGGTTTTTGTTTTGTTTTGTCTTTGAGACTTTTTACCACAGTGTGGTGCTACAGCAACCTATTCTGTGCAACCTCACGATTTACTCATGCCCAATGTATGCTTCCTTTTCTGAAGTTTAAAAGCCTGTTCCCCTCCCTACCCTTGCTCAGTCAACTTAAGCATTTCAAATTTCAGCTCTCACCATGAGGCTAATTCCTCCCAAATCCCATTCATAACCTCCAAACTCAGATTTCCAAGAGACTTCAAGACCTTTGGATATGGATGTTGTGCTGTTAATTAAAACTCAACTGCTTCAAAGTGCATCCCATATTCTCTTCTAAAGAATATGTGAGCCAGATTTTCAATTTCAGACAATACTATTTTCCAGTTATCCAACAGTATTAATAAATAACAGATGTAAGGAACAACCTAGATTATGTTAACTATACTGGAATTAAAACTAAAACTTAATAAAATAAAAAAAAATACTTAATTTAAAAAAAGAAAGAAAGAAACAACCTACATGGTGAGCTATGAAAATTAGTTCCCCAATAATACCACTGTGAAAAGGAATATTATACTGGCATCAGACTGATACAGAAACTGATACAGAAAAAAAAAAAAAACTGTATTGACATGAATGCCTTTTTATCCTGTACTAAGTGAAAAAACAATGGGTTAACATTATATGTAAATCCAAAAGTTTTCAGTAAAAAATAAGTAAACAAATAAATATTTAATATATGTTTGCTATATATTATTATATGTATTGCTATGCATCTCTCTGTTTATCCATCTATCATAAAGAGTAAATATCAATATCTTAACCAGCACTATCTGAACTGTAAGATGACTGTTAATTTTTAAATTTTGCCTTATTTTATTGTTTATACTTTCAATACTGACCATAAATTAATTTATATGCAACAAATAGAATTAAAGGTATACTAAACCAATTTTCTAAAACAACAAAGGAAAAACCAGTAAGTGAAGATCACGGTAAATAGACTACCCCTTAGCTTCCTCCTCAGATTGTCTCAAATCAATCCTTTCAGCTATATTTATTATTATACATAAACTTAAAAATATTTAGAAGTATTAAAAGCTTTATTTTATAAAGAGAAAACTAAAGGTAAAGGAGATTAAGTGAGTACCTCTAAGTTATTCAGTTAATGACAAAGCCAGAACAAAATGTGTGTTTTTTTTCTATTTTGTTGGTCAGTTTTCCTTCCACTAGCCTAAGCTATCTCTCAGAAATATAATGGTTCAGTCATTGTTCCCCAAAATAGTCCATGCCACTCTGCCTCTGCACCCTTTCACATTCGGTATCTCTCTTTTGTACCTACTATAAAATTTCCTGATCTGAAGCACTCCCTGGCCACTATAGATAAATAATTTTATCTGGATTGCTCCTAGGGCATAAAAAAATAACATTCTTTCAATTTGTTAATTACATTGAAAATATTTGGTTATATGTTTTAATCACTAATATGCTAAAACTTATCCATATCTTCAGGAAAACAAATTTCTTTTCATAGCATATATTGATTGCTTCTATAAGGTAATGCCCATGTACTTAGATACAATTCTTAACATTCATATAAAACTACTTTTGTTCATGTATTTACTCAGCAGGTACTTATTAAGAACTTGCAGTTCTAGAGATGAACAAAACAGACAGGTCCCTGGAGTTCACAAATAGAAAAACACAAATAAATCTACCAACCAACCAACCACACACAGAATTAAAACCCCAGATACTTCATCACACTGCTACATGTCTCCATGCGTTATCATGTATTTCCACTAGCCTAAAATATAAACCAAGTCTTTCTTCACCCATCAAATGATTACTCATCTTTCCAAATTCAATTCATTTATGCAAGTACATGCTTCCTGGGGCAATTCCTTAATACATTTCATACCCTAGTCTCATATATGTAAATGTCATCTCTGCTATTTTGCAATTTAAAATATGTTCCTACCTCACTAGTCATCACACTGTGCTGTACATGTTGATTTTCTCTTCAAATAGAACATAAGCTCCTTGAGGGAAGTGAGCATATCTTATTCAAATTAATATCTCCATTATAATTAGAAATATATGTAATATATATGTATGTATTATGTATCATATATATAATACTTACTCTTAAAAGCAACTCTGCCCTCTTAGAGACAAAGATAAGTAAAATCACTTTTTCACATGGCAATCCTCAGGTATGTTTTAAAGAACTATCATATTCTTTCCAAATTGCCTTTTCCCCCAGGCTAAGCATTTAGATCTTCATAATTATTTTTATGCTTTTTGATATTCTTGTCATCCTTTGTTGGATATCTCATTTACCATTTTTTTTAACATTTATTCATTATTGAGAGACAGAGAGAGACATTGGGAGGGGCAGAGAGAGGGGGAGACACAGAATCCGAAGCAGGCTCCAGGCTCTGAGCTGTCAGCACAGAGCCCGACACGGGGCTTGAACTCACGAACTGTGAGATCGTGACCTGGGCTGAAGTCGGTCGCCCAACCAACTGAGCCACCCAGATGCCCCTCATTTACCTTTTATGTTCTGAAATTGAGAACTTTGTTAACATAGTTAAAAGGGTTAAGTACAACAACATAAATTTATGTGATTTCCTCTTCCTTTCCCTTTCTAAAACAAGAAACTGTCTTATGGATATTACCACGATCTCTTTGGCAGTTCAAAATATAATTAATAGAAACACAAAAAACAAAGAAAAACAAAAACAAAAACCCTATAGAATCAAGAGACTGAAGTGATAAAGAACTGAGAAGAGGACAGAAGAGGGAGGTAAAAACAGAGACTAAGGAAAAATTGA